ATTCCGTGTTATTCGACAAATAATAAAACAATTCCTAATATCATCTCATTTAAAGAGATCGTTTCGCATCCTCTAAAAGTAGGGCAGTAGCCCTTGCTTCATTTTGTTCGTTCAAATTATAACGTTGCCTTATCCATCTGTAGTAAGAAGATAAACGCGTTATCACAATATAACTGATATCAGTACTGTTATCATTACTTGTTACCTGAAATCAAGCTCAGTCTCTTTTAGTAAATTAGACAAATCAGTTCATTTACCTTTATTAAAAATGCGGAATGTGTCCTATCTTACTGTTTTTCCAATTCCAAAATCTATCTTTTTTTGGTGCATTCTTTTTTTACTGACCAGTCAGGTATCGGTGCAAATCGAAAATGAAACGTTTGCGAGTGCATTTAAATTAGATGATATTCAATCCAAAGAATTGATCTCCCCGGAATATAATGAAAATAATAAACAAATATCAAATGAAGCGTTCGATAATTTGTCAGAACAAATGGATTTATATAAAGATAGAATCAACTACAATGAGAAGAGCGAAGAAGAAAAAGGGGAAGTTCCAATTAATGTCGATGACAATTTTAAACAACAAAATACAGTTAATGAAGAAATCATTTCTAGTAAAAGTAACCCGGCTGCAAAATATGTAAGATATGGTAAGTATTTTGATATCAATAGGCGTGACCATTATTAATTCTCTTCTTTCTCTTTTAATTCTCAAAAAATATGAATTAATAAAAAAAAAAGAAATTCATTTATTTTAAATTCAACGCGAAGATTTTTTATTAAAAAATTTTTACGCTAATTATTACTATTATTATTATTATTTTTTTTTTTTTTTGATTCCATTTTATGTTAGAATGATAGGTGATTATAGTATTATTATATAGTTTAAATAAAGAATCTTATCTGTTTTATCAGTTACTCACTCAAACGTGAATCGGAGATGAATCATTGGATTTGTATCGCAATGAGCTTTCGTAACACGTTTTCCAATCTTCTACATTCCTGATATCTGAACTAAAATTATTTCATTTGATTCTCATTTACATTCGACTTAATCCATGATTGCGTTATCGTACGTGTAAACATATTTAATTTGTTAATTTTGTTTATAAAGAGCGATATTAATAGAAAATCTATCAAAATTAGTAGCATTTGAATTTTTTTTAGATTGAGCAATTTAAATATAAATGAAATTATCGTATCTAGTATCAGAATTATAGTATCAGAATTAAAATACACTTATCCTTACAGATTCTGATTCAGCGGAAGCAGACAGATACGCACCTCGCTCGGATGATTCAGTTCCAGATTATGTCTTAACAGAGACAAGATTGAAAGAAATCAGATCCAAATTCATGTATTGGTTTTTCGATAAAGGAGGTGACAACAATGAAGGCGATTATCAAAAGGAAATCCAAGCTTCGACACCTCAAACGCATAAAAATTTCAATTTTCAATTACCCTTTTTTGGATTTAGATTCAATTACACTAGAGTACGTTGTTATTTGTTATTCCCTTATCAAATGATTTCTGACTATTATTTATAATCTAATCTGATAGTATTTTAAAAGATTGTTTGTTACGTTTGTTATACATTTCAGGTATCAATGAATGGTTTCTTAGAATTTAGTGATCCGCCGGTACATTACACGTATCCTCTTGTTTTCCCGGTTAAAGATTGGCCAAAGAAGAACGATCCCAGTTTCATAGGAATATTTTTCAGTAAATGTCGCATAGGAGAAATACGGCAAACAGATATAGATCAAAGAAAACCAGGTGTATACTTTAGGTCGGTTGATATTAATATTTCAATAATTAAATAAATATAATTTTTTGAAAAATAATTAAATTTATCGTTAAATACGTGATTAGAATTCGATTTTCCAAAGAAATCGAATGATCAACTTTGATAATGATAATTAATTAATTTAATTAATTAATTAATTAATTAATTAATTAATCTTGGTAATTCAAATGTTTTATAATCTATCATGAAATTTTTATAGATTGAAATTTTATAGATTTATAAAATTAATTTTTATAGAATGGAACGAGATTTACAAACGAGAAGAGATCAATTTGGAGTCGAAATGCGCGAACGTCTTAAGTGGGATATTCGCGAGGGTATTATTGGTACCGACGCTTTCGAGCCTAAACACGCAGTTATAGTAACGTGGAAGAATATGTCTTTCACCGGTGGTATCGATAATTCCTTGTACATCACTAACACTTTTCAAATGGTCCTAGCCACTGATGAAGTGAACACCTATGTGATATTTAATTATCTGGATATTCAGTGGACCAGTCACACAGAAGCTGGTGGTGATACTACGCGTGGTGAAGGTGGAGTTCCAGCATTCGTAAGTTTATTGATATTATATTACTACATTCAATAATGTAATATATTCAGAATTTTTCTTACTATATCATTTAAATTTATTCCTTTTTTATTTTGATTTGAAATAATTTAATAAATTATGATAAATATCGCTTGTATTTGTAATTTTAATTTTCTTTAAAAAAAATGGTGTAAATTAATTCATATTTCGAAATTAATTGTTTTTTTTTAGGTTGGTTTTAACGCTGGAAATGGTACACAAAGTTACGAATATACGCCTTACTCTCAAAGATCATCCATCCGTGATTTGACCGGAAGAGGATGGGCAAATAAATTTCCAGGACGACATATGTTTAGAATAGACGAAATAATACTGCCTGCAGTTTGCAATAAGGATATTGGTAAAATTGAACACATTGTAGATAATTATTAATAATATATTGTCATTAAATAAATATAAAATAATAATGTTTTATAGCTGGATCAAATTTGCCTCTTGTATTTGCGCCCGAAAGTGGAAACATGTTGGGCGGTACAATTGTAAATATTACTGGTCCATGTTTCAACGAGACTGAAAAAATTCGATGCATGTTCGAGAACGAATGGGTGATAGGTACTGTGATCGATAAAAACCGAGCGATTTGCGTTCAACCGTTTGTGAAAGCGCAAGGATACATTAGATTCGCAATCAGCGTTGGTGACAGTAAAAGTTACGATTGGAAAGGAAAATATTTCATTGGTAACATATAAATTTTAATTTTAATTCAAATTACCAATTACCAATTATTATTACCAATTATTACCAATTATTATTAATAAATAAATTATTGTATTCGATTAGAGACCCCAGCTACAGCGGCAGAGAAGATCTTTGTATCGAATTCCGTTCATCAAGCAACTCCTGCAGAAATAAAAATTACTTGGGTTCCGTATAATTTAACCAGTAATTTGAACGCAGGAGTACAGATATCTTTATGGGGATACCGTGAAACAAAAACTACTCCTGAATTCGAATATATCACTACTTTGGAGGTAGATACAATATATAGAATATTATTTCATAATCAATTCGAAAAAAAAATTTTAATTAAAAAATTGTAGAGAGCATATACAAATTTGGGATACTACATTATTAGACCAGCTACATACCGTGATGAAAACAATCCTTTTCAACAAGACTTAACTTTCGGATTTCTTCAGCTTAATTTAACAGATCCACAGCAACATACTGGTTTTGACATCACACCGTATGTATATCATATATAAAAATAATTATATATATTATAAAAATTATACGGATAATAATACCAAAAATTTATATAGTAATCTATGGAGTAGGCCAATTCCATTGGCTTGGTATTTTGCTCCCCAATGGGAAAGAATGTATGGATCGAAATGGTCTCAACGACTTTGCGACAAATGGATCATGAATGACAGATATTTGAAGAATTTCGCAGCGGAAGTATCTCTGTGTCCGTGTACCTTGAAACATGCGTTAACTGATAAAGGTCGTTTTCTTCCGGATTATGATTGTGATAAGGATGCAAATTTGGATTGCATGTACAATTTGCATGCGCATCATTGTGTGAGAACAGGTGCACCAAAGTAAGTAATATTTTTATAAGTAAATAAATTTGTAATTATAAGAGACATTTATATATTTTAGTATGGATGGTTCCGAGCAACAATGCTGTTACGATAAAAATGGTTATCTGATGTTGACTTACGATCAACAATGGGGTTCAAGACCACATAGATCACACAATTTGGGTTATTATCCATGGGACGAGGCAAATAAGGTTCCAAGTTTGTCGCATTGGTATCACGACGTAATACCATTTTATATGTGTTGTATGTGGCAAGAGGAACATGCAGTTGGTTGTGAAACGTTCAGATTTGAAAGACGACCAAGTCAAGATTGCATTGCATATCAATCTCCAGCTATTGCAACGGTATTTGGTGATCCCCATATCGCAACATTCGATGGTTTGGAATACACATTTAATGGAAAGGGAGAATTCGTTTTAGTACGTGTAAATGACTTGAAGGATAAGCTTGATATTCAAGGAAGATTTGAACAACTACCAAATAACTTATACGGTGAAGTTAAAGCTACTCAATTAACATCTATAGCAGGTAATAAAATAATAAAAACTTAAGAATTTTTATTAAAATTCTATAATTTTAAATATCTTTATTTTTCTTAATATAGCAAGAGGAAACAATTCTGCAACCATAGAAGTTCGATTAAGACCTAAACACGCGCAATGGAGATATCGTCTCAACGTTTTTGCGAATAAACAACCAGTATATTTCGATAGACCAGCTATAAAATTCCAACACTTTACTGGCGTAGTCGTTTACACGCCTACGTACATTTTGAATCAAAGTCAAGTGATCATTATGTTTGATACTGGTGCCGGCGTGGAAGTGATCGAAAACGAAGGATACATGTCAGCCAGAATTTATTTACCCTGGACATATTTGGTACAATTAAAAAAAAAAAGCATGAATTTATAATTCAATAATATATTGTACTTATAAATTTGTTTTTATCATTTTAGAATAAAACCAAAGGATTGTTTGGCAAATGGAACTTTGATATCGCAGATGATTTGATAACTCCAGATGGCCAACAAGTAGCAACATCCAATTTGAACCACTTTGAGACTGTGCACAAAGATTTTGCAATTCATTGGATATTAGAAGACAAGGAAGATGATGCTAGAGGAGCTGCCTTATTCAAGAGAGAGTTTGGTAGAACTGCAAGTTATTATTTTAATAAAACCTTTGATCCTGAATGGCGAAGATCGCCAGAAGAAATATTGTCTTCTAACAGGTTTTGTTTAATATTATTTAATATCTTTTCTAATGATTAAATTTTGAATTAGTTATAAAAATAAAAAAATTATTTTATTTTTTCGCAGATCGTATGATATACAACGAGCTGCTGATCTTTGTGGAGATTCATATCAATGCCGATATGATTATGCTATGTCGCTTAATCGTGATATGGCTCATTTTACAAAAAATTATTATAATACATATACTGAAATAAGAGAAATTAATATGAAAGAAACAGGTGAGTTATAAATATTTTTTAAGTAAATATTTTTTAATTGATGAATAACTATTTTTCTAATTTGCACATTTTATATTTTATTCTTCCTTATTTCAGTTGTTTCATGTGGTATATTAGAAACACCACGTTTTGGACGAAAAAGTAATTTCTTTTTCGTACCAGGTACAAAGGTAACTTTTGAATGCAATCAAGATTTTATATTAGTTGGTGATCAACGTCGTGTTTGTACTCCAGAAGGTTATTGGAATATTCCAGAATATGGATATACAGAGTGTCTACGTGAGTACTTGAATTAACTTTACATTTAAATAATATTAAAATAATATCTATATTTAACATTGATGCTTATAATATATGCCTCGCTAATACAACAAAGTATCACAGATTATAAGAATTCATTATTTCCAATCCATTACTTATTTTTTTTTATTTTTTTCTCTTATTTTATCTTTTAAAAAATCGTATCAATCATCGCATTTTGTACATTGAAAACATAGTTCATTATCAAAAACAGTAGACAAAATTATGAAAAAAGAAAAATAAAAATTTTGCTATTACATAAATAGGTCAAGTCGAGTATACTCAACGTACAGCATGGACAACAATGGGCATTATTTGCGCCGTTTTAATCCCTGTAACAGCATGTGTCGCTGGTGCTTTTCTTTATATACGAAAGAATCAAAAACAAGAAAGTTCCGTGAAATCGTGGCGTTATTCTGAACGCGGGTCTGGTATTGACAATGATTCAACATTGTCGAAACAGGCTACGCCGTTAAAAATATACGATAGACCAATTTCACCTATTAGCGATACTAGTAACAGTCCTCCAAGTGGGGTTAAAAAACCTCTTTCTTATGACAAAGTATATCGTACTAACGAGCCTTTGCCAAACAAACCGGATGTTGATTTCGAGGACAAAGATTGGGATCTAAAAGAACCTAGTTCTCCGACAGATTTGGAAAAAAGTTTAATAGAATCTAAAAAGGCTGGAAGTCCTAGTAAAGAAAGTGACGTGTAAAATAATTGACAAAATATCACGAGGCATTAATAGCGTCAGAAAATATTTCATGTGTACATTTTTACTTAAATAATTTTCATATAACATACTTAACATTTCAAAAATCATTACATTAAACTTTTTGAAAACATTCTCTTCGTATAAGAAAATATTTATAGATTTTTGTAATTATAATTGCGATTATGTATTTAAAATAATCGCACGTAATCAAATCATTTGCACAAAAATTAAATTCATTTAAAATATATTAATTAAATTTTATCATCAAATATTAATAAGAAAATTTAAATAGTATATATTTTTTATTTTTGCTGTGGAATAGAAATATTCATTTATAAAACAATACAATACACATTATAATATCACAAATAACCTTTATACTTTTATAAAATGTAATACAAATAATATATTAAAATGCAACATCTTTTTGAAATTTAAATAATGAAATTTATTATAACATTATTGTATAAAATATTTACTAATTAATGTAAAATCATGCAATGTAATAAACTTTTCTATACCTTTCAATATTTGGGAAATTTCTATTCCACATGCATTTACTATATAAATTTCATAAAATATTTAAATAATTAATTAATCTTTAGTGGAATGGAAATTTCCACCAAAAATATTATTTTTTCTTTTTTTTTTTTATTACTCTTGTCCTTTTTTTCTATCCTTCCTTTTTTATATTTACATTTGTTTATTAATTTTACATTAATTATTAATTTTTTCATTATTTAGTAATCAAAATAATTTTTTTTATTTTTTTTTATTTATATTAATGATATAAATTATATTAAAAATCACAGGTCAAGAGGAATATGATTCACGTCAAGCAGGTATTACAACTGGTATAGTGCTTGCTTGCCTAATTCCAGTTTTACTTCTAATTGTTTTTGTGGCATTCAGAGTTTTAAAAAGACAAAGAGAACAAAGAGAACAAGAAGAAGCATTAAATAGGTATTGCAATTAATATTAAAAAATTATAAATAAAAATTTAGTCTAATATTAATTTCTAAAATTTTTTTCTATAGGTCAAAAAATGCAGAACTCTTAAAATTATCAAAACTTAAAGAAGAAGAAGAAGAATCTACTTCATTTCCTAAAGCAACAGAAATAAATTAAATAATTTACATATTTTTTTAAAAAAATTTTTTATGACTTATTTCATATCATTAAGTATATTCTTTTCATTTATTCATTTTAGGATATCATATTTATTTTAGGAAATTATTTTTAGTATTTAATAATTTTAGCATGACTAATTTTTAATTAATTATACATTTAGTTAATAATTAAACACACAAGCTAAAGCATTTATTTGTTAATATAAATAAATTGTTCTAATAAATTCTATCTATATCATAAAAATATATTTTATGATATAAATTTTACATGCAAGACAAAATATATATTTATTATAGTATTTTTATATTAATAACATATTTAATTCAATATATATAAAAAATTCGATATGTACTTACAATTTTATACAATTCATGAAATGTGAAAATAGATTATAAAATACAATTTTATACAATCCCATAGAAAATTAATGTTTAAATTTTATATATACATATATAATTATCTGATTGTGACTATACTTAACAGATATATATGTACATATAAGAATTTTGTTAATACAACGTTCAATACGATAATTTTATCATAGATATAATTAAAGATTATATCATATAGAGCTAAATAAATTCATATTATTGAAAAATATTATTGTGTACGTAGTACAAAAATTGTGCACGTACTTACAATTTAACCACGAATATTTGTTGAACGTAGCGAAGTTTTGGATACCATTTAGTTTTAAATATATAATATTATAATATATTCGATTAACTTCATATTGTAGAAGAAACTGTAGCCCTCTACTAACAGAGGTAAGTAACTACATAATAAATTACCGACTGTTCAACATCTCATACTGTGTTGTGCGGACTGAGTAGTAATTCTATCACTGCGTTATCCAGTGATTAAACTATTTATGTTAGATTTCCTGCTTCAAGTGTTTAGAATGCATACTGTTCCGTCATTGTTCCTAAGTATGTAACTATAATTACGTGAATTTGCTTTGGTTTACAGTAAACATTCCAAGATATAACAGTGATTCATTGAAGCGCAAACAAGTGCCAGTATTTGAGGAAATTCGTGTGTACAAATTCACATATAAAATTGATCATATTCGAACTCGGTTTTCAAAGTAGTTTGAGCATGGATTTAAGTGTGTGACAATCGAAGAAAAATTGCAACATTAGAGGTATGTATTTTTAGACATTCAGATATCATACAATAATTCAGTTATATGTTCAGTTATATTATTTATATTTTATTTAGTATTGTTATTTTCAATAAGCCGATTCTACTGTATCAAATCATATTAACCTATTCCTTTTGTTTTTGTTCCATATGTCATACGCGCATGTCAAGTAATTTGATTTAGAATTTTTAAACTTAATTTACGTTACGTATAAAGATTATAATAACAAAGCGATAATGTCATAACAATTAAAAAATATTTTTATTTATTATTATTATATATATATATATAAATTTTATCCATGTAGTTTTTATGTGGAAAATAATAAAAATATAAAATGATCACAAAAAAGCATAATATAATTACAATTTGTTTTACATGAACCATAAAAAATACATGCATATTTTAATTTTCAATTATTCTAAAATTATTCAAAATTTAAAGATATTCGTTAATCAGTATATTAATTTTACATTTTTATTTATAGATATTGGAATTAGGTCGATAAATCTCATTTATTAATCATTCAACGAATCAGAAAATATGTCTGTCATATTGCAATGGCTCGATCATGGGTAGGATGTTTGTTCGGTGTTTTAATACCATCCGCAGTTTTTTACCTGTATTTATTATTAAACGGTAATACTCACGTTTTTATTATATTACTTCCTGGTATTGATACATCATATATTATTATAGTTCCTTCTGCCGAAATCAGTTCCTTCAAAATTAATGGTAAATTGGGCTCATCCGTGGATATAGAAAAAGCAAGTCCACATATAGCTACTTTCGAAAAGTTGCGCTTAGAAAATAATCACAATGAGGTAAAAATTTAATTGATTTCTTGATTGAAAATAAAAAAAAAAGAGTTTCTATAAATAGAAGATGTCCCGTTATTCGTAGTATAACAAATTTATTTTTTTCATGAGAATTATATAATATAATAAAATTACTAAATGCGATTCTTAATTGTATGCCATCATCAGCTTTGTCACTTTATAATTAATTTTATTATAATAATTAATGAGATTAACTAATTTAGTTACATAAGAAATAATAGATATAAAATTTGAATTAAAAATTTTATTGATAAATTATCTATTTTTATTTTCAAAAATGAAAAAATTTAATTTTCTAATTGTGTTTTAAATTAAATTTTTTTTCTCTTATATTTTAGAGAAAAATATTTATTCAGCTTTCTATTTTAATTAAAATTAAAGAAATTATTTGTGATGCTTCTAATTAAAATTTTATGTTTAATAAACACGGAAATGTTTTACTTCTAATATAAATATTTATTCAATAGTAAAATTATAATTGTTATATTATATTGCAATTCATATTTACTTTAAAATACATTAAAGACTAATATTCTTTTATATATTAATTTATTTTATATTAATATATTTTAAAATATTAACATGCAATTAAGAATCATTTATATAATTTTCATTTAAAAATAAAATAAATTTTGACAGAACTAAAAACATAGAAACGTTGAAGGTTAGCGATTTATTTTAAGGTAAAATGCGAGACCGTGCATATTGCGATGGTGTGCGCCGGATACAATTCAACATTCGCTCTGGTGACAGTAGTAAAATCCGTTTTATTCTACCGCACTAAACCTTTGCACTTTCACTTGCTCGTTGATGAAATTGCAAAGAGGACTTTGACAACTGTGTTTCAAACATGGGATTTACCACATGGTTTGTAAAAATTAACCGTGGTAACATTTTCATCCGATGCTTGAATAAAATTTTAAAATTACGTACGATGTTTTATGTTACTAAAATAAATTATTAAAATAAATTATATTTAGTTACAAAAAATAAAATTTTTTAAAGAAGATTTTAAGAAAAAAAATTAAGTACTTAATTTAAGATATTATATTTTACTTCTTTACATATAGCAATAGTGTAAATTATAATTATAAAAAAATGACATTGATTTATAATAATAGAATATTTTTAATATCTTCATTCTTATCGATTTTCTATCTTCAACTAATTTTCGCTTTCATTTTGTACATTTACTTTTTTTAGAAGAATATCACTTCCAATATATATAATTTAATAATTAACCTAGGTCACATATTTATTAAAGCCTCAATACGGTTATAAAATGAAACCCTATCCGATTTTTTTTATTGTCCTTAATTTAAAACATTGAATTGAATCTTCTTTCCTCTTACAAACTAACGTTATACATATAAACCTATTAAAAATGAAAATCGTGTGAAAAATGTCAAACAATCGTTGACTTAATTATAATGATTATTGTGATTGTCATTTAGATGTGAAACAAATTTGAACGAAACGTTAATTTAAAATTATTTAAGGAACGGATGGCATGTATACAATTTATTATTATTATTGTTATTATTATTATTATTTGTATATTTATTATCAACGATTGTATTAAAATATTCCTTCGATCATTTCAGTGAATTTAACATATTACAAAGCAGAGAAATGGGTACCAAAAGTATCTTGGATACCGAACAAACATTACTCCGGTGTTTACGGTCTTTTGAAATTAATTCTGCCGGATGCGATGCGGGAGGATAAAGTGCTTGTATTCGACACGGATGTGACTGTGCTGAACGATGTTAGTTTACTTTGGCATATATTCGAGAAGTTCTCGAGCGATCAAGCACTAGGGTTGACAGAAAATCAGAGTCATTGGTACATAAAGGCATTGTCTTACGGTCAACGACCATGGCCGGCACTGGGACGAGGCTTTAACACTGGCGTGATGCTAATGCACTTGCAACAACTTCGTAAGAGAAAATTTACGAGCCTGTGGGAAGCTGTTACGAAGCGTGTGCTGGCCCATATACCGGAAACTAGTTTAGCTGATCAGGATATAATAAATGCCGTTATCAAAGAACGTCCTTTTATCGTATATAAAATAAAATGCACGTGGAATATTCAATTAAGCGATCATACAATTAGTGATATATGTTATCGTGACACTAGTCAAATAAGCGTAAGATTTTGTTTTAAAAATATATTTTCATTTTTCAATTTTTAATGAATTTTTTTTATTTTATTTTGCGATTTTTTGTAGATTATTCATTGGAATTCTCCTCGCAAACAAGATGTATATAATAAGCATATTAACGAATTTCGTAAATTACATAGAGTTTTCCTCGAGATGGATGGGAATTTATTACGTAGACGCTTATTTGGTTGTGATAAACACGAAACTGTGTCTCAAGTAAGTTTCTTTTTTTTATTGAAAGATTCACATTGTTTCTATATTACTTATTAATTACTAGACTGATTATTAGATGATAAGAAGATTAAAATAAGATTGGAAATTATTTTCATGCTAAATTTTCCAATTTGTTTTTTGTTTAAAGAAAAAAATATTATGTTCAGTATATTTATTATAGATTCGATAATTTATAAATCAATTAAGATTTTAAATTTTTAGTATAATGAGTCAAGCCCTTGTCGAGATTTCACAAAAGGTGCTACCATGTTGTATCGTACTCATCCTTTCCTTCTTGAGTATGAATACAATGTATATACTCCAGCGGATGTTGCTCTAATAACTCAATGTAGCGTAGAGAGAATACCGTTACTAGAAGACCTATCGAAACATTGGCCCGGTACCATAAGCGTTGCACTGTATCTCACTGATGCTGAAGTACAGAATTTCCTAGAGTTCGTACGCGGTTCCATCGAGTTGAGAAACAGGAAGAACATCGCATACCACGTCGTTTACAAGGATGGGGTATGTCTAACCAGGATATTCTATGTCTTGTACACATATTACCAAGTTTATTCGTTAGTTATGTTATTCGTAGTTATAATTGAATCGAGATATATGATTTCATAACTTTTTAACTAAAAGAAAAAAATAAAAAGGACATATTTAATGTATATGTATAAATATTTAATTATATAAAATTCTTTTCATTAGGAACTTTATCCAATTAATTATTTACGAAATATTGCGATGTCATATATATCAACCCCATACATCTTTCAATTGGATGTCGATTTCCTGCCTCAATATAGATTACACGAAAATCTTATGAATTATATTGTTAAATTGAATATTAGTGAATCGGACAAGGTAGCTTTGATCGTTCCAGCCTTTGAAACAGAGCGTTATAGGTATTTTTAAATTTTTTATTATAAAATCGAAACAAAGAATCGTATAATACATATTACACATACATTTTTTAGATTTACTTTTCCTGCTGACAAGGATGAACTCTTGAAATTTTTAAAACGCGGTGTTCTATATACTTTTCGTTATCACGTTTGGACCCAGGGTCATGCTGCTACTAATTATACTTATTGGCGTAATACAATGGAGCCATACGAAGTACGTACATTAAAGAATTTGATCGTTTTATTTGAATGTAAATTATTAAATTATTGTCTGCATAGGTTTCTTGGGAACCAGATTTTGAACCGTATATCGTGGTCTCAAGATTAGCGCCCCGTTACGACACCAGATTCATCGGTTTTGGATGGAACAAGGTGTCTTATTTGACGCATTTGACAGTATTGAATTATAAGTAAGAGGCGTTTTATAAATATCTTTTCTAAATGATTTTAAAAACACCGAGCATTATAGCACGATGCCATAAATTGAAGATTTATATAGGTACATTGTCTTACCGGATACATTCATTATTCATCGGCCTCACGCCCCTAGTCTCGACATCGGCAAGTTCAGAACTGACTCTATTTATAGAAGGTAATGCTAATAAATATATATAATATTTAAAATAATTAAAAGATCAAAATCCTTAAATATATAATTATAAAAAAAAGAATCTGTAAGTTAAAAATGAAAATATTTCATATTAATTAATACTATTTAACATTCTATTCTATTTAATTTAAATGGTGTATACTTAACAAATAAACAAACTATATTATAATTTATTTTTCATTATAATTATATTTCAGCTGTTTAAAAAAATTGAAGGATGAATTCGTTGAAGAATTAATGTCGAAATATGGTGAGAATGCATTATTAAAGTTAAAGAAAATGACCAAAGATGAAAGGATATTAAAGTCTGTTGAAACCAAAAAGTAATTAATTATATTTGTAATGATAAGAACGACTGCGAAAATGCTAATATTATTGCTATTTTCTCAATAAAAATGTATTTAAAAAAATACATATATATTTTTCTCTATTCTTCTAAATTATTAATTGAAAATAGACAATAATGGGGTTGGGAAATATTTATTAAAATTTAACCATCGTGGAGTGTACAGAGTGGTGCTTTCAGTACATTCTCTTAATGTTACAGTCACGCTAAATATTTCATTTATAAAATATGTATAATATTTACAATGATAGTACATTGACAATGGCGTATAAATTATAATCGGCCAAAAATGTTGTACATAATAAAACTAAATTACGTTAGAAAGCAAATAGTACAATTTTTCTGATAAAACTTGCTAAAAATAATCACGATCACAATAATAATAACAACATAGCGATATAAATCCGATAGATCGATAGGAATATTAAATATTAACGATATTAATTATTACTTAATAATAATATCTAATAATAATAGCTGTGATAATAATAATAATAACACGAATATTAATAAAAAAGACAATATAATAATAAAATAAAATAAAAAAGACATGATCATCGTCCGCAAAGATTTTTTACCTCGATTATCCATTCTTAACATTCCTATGTCATCTAGAATCTAAAGTAAAAGAAAAAATCTTGATCGCTCTACGTTTTCCCTAGAGAGTTTTTCTTACACCTATATCGTGACACGTAAACATAGTTCCTTTACATTTATAATAATCCCTATTTACGATAAAAACACTTTAAAGCGTTCTTATCCTGTACAACTTAGAGCTGTACGAGATACGAAAATATGTTAATGAAACATCATTTATTCATAACTCGGCCCCATGAAAGTCCGCGTACAAACTCGTCAAATATCTGAGAAATCTGGACGCGGCTGAAATCCATAGAAAACGGCGCCCTAACAACTCTTCGTCAGGAACATGCTTTACATTCTGCACGGTATTATCGTTACACGTTACAGTATACATGTGGAAAATCTTTCTATAATATATATTTTTTTTTAAACAAGTGGCGATGGAATGAGTTAGGCAGTTTCAACGATGATTTAGGACACGACTTCAGCGATCAATCGAGAAAGCACAATTATTATTATTATTATTATTATATTTTTTTTTTTTTCATTTAGAACTATTCGCAATATAATTCTTTGAAAATCATTTGACTACTCAAGATTATTTACGAGTAATATCTATTATATTATTTATACTATTTCGTATCTCTTTGTTCCACTTTTAAAGGACATAAAGTTCTAATCTATGCTTTATACTTTATGTCACAAATATTTTTGAAAACTCTGGAAAGTAATCTTGAGTAACCAATTGATCTTAAACTTGTACCAGCATTGTCCACAAATAGGAAAAACCTATTGTATCTTTGTCTCTTTTGTTAAGCTCCTTCATATTTTTACCAATATACATATACTTTTTCATACAGAATGGCATAATCTATGTTCCCACAGTCAAAAGAAATATTCTTAAGGAAAAGAAAGATTTCTAAATTTTTATATAATTTTCTAAATTTTTATATACTTTAGTATCAACAATGCTGGTTTACACCAAAATCTTCTCATATAACATCTTTCTGATGAAATCTTCCCCTAGAAGCGTTTACACGAAACGATGTAAATTGGATCATTTATAATCGTAGTATACTTTTGCGATTTGATATCTTCAAAGTTCAATTATATTAAAGAAATTATTTTGGAACGAACATCGCGTAGATCATTTCGAGTTCTTCACTTCGTCATTACGAATCTTTTGTTGTTACGAACGCAATTCCTTATCGAGAAATCTATAGAACTAAAGCTAAATGAAATTACACAATTTTCTCAATTTCAAAAGTATCAGTCTTCGAAAAATGGTTACGATAGATCGATGAGTAAATAAATGCAATATATAATTTCACGTGATTTACAGTAATACAAAACAAACGATATTTAAACATATGATACGCATATGGTACACTTAAATCTAGATGATTCACACGATAATATAATCGTTAATATATATCGTTACCATACGGTAATTTGTGTGCTCGAAAATTAGATTTAAAAGCTCACATTTATCGTTTATTTTTCATGGTCTTTAATTTCAGGAGAAAATTAATATTTTTTATTGTACTGGTATAATTTCTGCTAATTTTTATATACTCGACCATATCAGATCAGCGTTTTACATCTCATTTCCGAGAATTAATTAATTGTTATGAACTTTTTCGCTTTAATGAAGTATTTCATTACGTTTGAAAGAATCGTTTAAGAATACGTTTAAAAAATACATTTCAAAACAGAAATAGCATAATTAGAAAGATTATTATCGTCCTTTTTTTGGAATGAATTCAACATGTTTCATTTGTCTTGCGAATGCTTCTCGAATGAATACATTATTTCTGGAATAAAATCTAGCGAGATATTTAAATTTCCCTCACAATTAACTAAATTTATTTGTACTGTCGAATTTGTTATTTAAATGTGCCATAATATAATAATCTATCGATCTTTAAAAAAAAACTATCATATTTGTCCCTATATTATTTTGTAATTTTATTACATTTTCATCAATAATCGTATTTTCGAAATCAAAGAAATTATTTTAATCGAAATTATTTTTTATTTTTATTTTATAGCAGATAAATATTATAAAAATTATAAAAATCTTTCATAAAAACGATCGATTTGAAATTGTCTCGAGGTATCTAATACATTTTGATCCAGTCATTCCCATTCAGATGCTTTCGTACCCCTCGTGAAATTAAATTTTATCAAATTATGCATTTAATCTCCAAGTATGGTCGGATTTGTAAATCGGACGGTATACTCGTCTGCATCTTTATGATTGCAGATCAAGAATTTCGCGTTAATATTTCGACGACAGAAATAAGATTATTCGCAATCGTTGATTAAAAATCGGTTTAATTTTTTTTCTTTTTTTCTTTTTTTAGATAGATGGAAACAATGTGTTACTGCGAAGCTTTGAAAATGAGATGGATCAAAAAGCTACGAGATTTTTAAGTATACCTATGTAACAAAATAATCCAATAACGATATTTCTTAATATTTCTTTCTATTAATAAAAGTTTCTTTTCCGGCAGCATGAGACGGGGAATAGAACTGGTCGATTTTTCGACGAAAGAAACGATCGATTAATGTATAATACAACAAAATAGATTATCTTTCCCCCAAAGTGTATCAAAATTTGTCAAGAATTATCGAAGATGAATAAGGAAAAACATCAATGTCAATTTACAAAATGTGTTTATAAATTACTAAAAAAAAAAAAAAAAAAAATCATGGAAATCGTCTACATTTATCGGAAAACGATACTACAATTGTGCCCATAGAAATTCACTTCCACTAACAGCGTAAATACCCGTTTTTAGACAAGGGTCGCGGATAGTACAATAACTTCTAAACCAATCTCACATTAAATCGTGTATCATGCTCTTGTTCACCCTTGTTCCTTTCTTCCCACGGGATGATGATCGTCCTGAAGCTAAACGCAATACATATCGCAAACAATCGATCGAATCGATAATATTTCCACATCGGGCGAACGTGCGATGCAAACTTTATCTGCCAATTAAAAAACGTAAAGCTAGCTCTCGTCTAATCGACTGTGGTACACCGATAACACCGATAAACGCGAAACGAGAAACAGAGGGTTCGTTACGCGAATCCCCACTCCCCCTTCCCCCCTCCCTCTCCTCATAGACCCCTCGATAATTCCATAATTGAACGAGAAAACCCAAGTAACAAGTGGCGGTACCTTTCACCTTCCCCCCATTAAATCGTCGATTGTCGCGATGAAGCTGTCTTTTCATCCCGCGGGATCGCGTTCCACCTCGCTCGATTCGGATCGTTTCTCGTTTCCTTCCGAACGAAAGAAAAATCTCGCGTGCGCCTCATTAAAAATACACCGTTGCCGAGATCGCGTTCGCAATTACACGGACTTTAGACACCATCCTTTCTTTACATCCCCCACCCGCGCGTATCTATCTCCCCTTTCCCCGGAGTTTAATTCCCCTGTCCCTGTTGTAATGACTTCAAGCGGATATATACCTGGCACAGTAGATACGCAGAGTCGTTAGAGAGACAAGACGTTGACGAGGCATCAAGTTGTACACAGATGCCTCTATCGACTGGAAAAAAAAAAAAAAACTATCGGAGGAAGGGATGTGTCGTCTCGAAGGGGACGTGGGTGGAGGAGGGTGACGCAGGTAAACCGTGTTATTGCAGCAAGTTTCCACCATCCCCGGTCAAAGGGGGTTTCGCTCATTAATGCGAACAGCCTAACTGCGCGCACAAAGTATCCTCGGCATAATAATTGCACACGGCGAGTGACGCTGCCTCGTCATGCGCATCCCTGGTAAACACGCCACGGCTAATAGTACGTACGGGGGGATCGACTTCTCTCCCCCCTCCCATATAATTGAGGGGATCGTACGACACGTTCTATTTTCGCGTGTACGCTCGTTACTTGGATGGGGAGAGACGGGGCGATTGGAGGATTGGAGGTGTTCGCGCGAATGGGGAAATAAATCTCGTCAACAATGGGTGAAGGTGTTTTGTTTCCGCTTACTTTTATCTTTGGGTGAACGAGTTTTTATTTTTTATTGTTATGCGAACCTTCAATGACGCGTAATTAAACGTCTCTGAAAAATTAAAGGATTATATTTACGAAGATTTATCATTTTATCGAACAAATGATTTTATAAATAATTCATATAATATTTTGATTCTATTTTATTTAACTTGGTTTTAGAATTTATCGGATTTATGGGATATCATTATTATTAAATGGTTTTCATTAAATGATTCGAATGATGAAAGAGAGAAAAGAGAAACAACCCTTGACGAAATGTTTCCCACTCAAATCCATATCTCGTGTGTAATCTCGACATCAAGTTGAATCGAGAACGTGCACATACGCGACGGGGAAATTAAAGGAGAGGAGATGGTGGCGACGAATCGTGAAGAAATCGGACGATCGCCCCGTTATATTTCACCGCTCGTTTTTCTGGTGCCCCGAAACCGTCTGGTGACGGATCCTGGTTTTAATT